TCTAACCCAAATTTAAACTCATAAGTCTTTTACAGATGAATTAAATCTAAAATTTTGAAATTCTAACATGCATGTAAGGATGAGTCTCGAACTTATGAAGAATAATAAAAATCAAACTCAAACTAATTAATTTTCCAAATTTATTTCCTTAAATCATAGATGTTCCAAAATATGTTTAATTTGAATCAAACTCTTAAATTACATTTCATGCATGGGTTAATAATCAAAGGCAAAACCCATATTTATTTACAGATGAATTAAATCTAAAACTTTGAAATTCTAACATGCATGTAAGGATGAGTCTCAAACTTATGAAGAATAATACAAATCAAACTCAAACTAATTAATTTTCCAAATTTATTTCCTTAAATCATAGATGTTCCAAAATATGTTTAATTTGAATCAAACTCTTAAATTAAATTTCATGCATGGGTTAATAATCAAAGGCAAAACCCATATTTATTCTTTAATCCCTCCAAATTACATGCATGTAGAAATGAGACCCAAATTCATGTAAGATATTCAACATCACACCACAAATAATCAATTTCCATATTCATTCCCATAACCATGAGCCTAGCTTTAAATTCTTACTCAAAACCCAATTTCTTACAATTTACAAGAAATTGATCCCATAGTCTCCTTAATTTCAAGTATTATATATAAATTCTACATGATTTGAGTATAAATTCCTTACCTTAAACTTTGATTTCAGAATTTATGGTTGATTTTCTCTTGGATCTTCTTCCTCTCTTTGAATTTTCTTGAGCTTCAAGCCTTCTTCACTTTTTGGCAAGGGATCTAGGCCAAATCTTTGACAAATGGAAGGTATTTGGGTCAAAATCTTTAGGGTTTTCGGACTAAGGGTGAGAGAGATAAAGAGAGAAGATGGAAGTGTGAAGAATGATCTAAAAAAAGTGCTTTTAAACTTGCTGAATTCGCGCAGTTCGCTCGAGCGTCTATTTTCCCGCTCGAGCGTACTTGCTTCCAACACAGATTCCAAAACTTCAAACGGGCATAACTCTCTCATCCGAACTCCGTTCTAGGTCATTCTTGTGTCCAAATCGAAGCCTCGGAAATAATCTTTCCATTGGTTCTAGCCTCACATCCAAATTCAAAGTGTGGAAAAAGAAAAGGGCAAAAGAGTGATGGTTGCTCGTAGGAAAAATTATCCGAATTAAATTATTGGTTCACTCTTACTTTACCATCATGTTACCACTTCGATCAATGTCCCAAAATAAAACAAGGAGGTTCCAAACATTAAATTAAACTTATTATCATCATCAATTTTTGTTTCGTAAATCACCAAGGCCCTCAATTTCAAATCAAATCCAAAATCCTTGTCGATAAATTTTATATTCAAATTGGATACCTCGTAAATAGATTTAATTCATAATCACATAATAACTTAGGTAATTAAACATACAAATTCACATCAAACACATAATCGCATGCGTAATTAAGTATATTACATGTTGGGTTATCACACTTGCCTTCTCAGCCTGAACCTCAGCAAGTGTACTTGCAGCGGTGAATCTTGCCGCTGCACTTGCCTTCTCAGTTCTATTTGGCCAGTACATGCGTTCTCGAGACTTTGATAGCCTGCTATCAGCTATGTTTGTGTTCACTTCAGCGAAGCCTCCACCCTTAGCCACCTAACCATAAACTCCCCAGCTTTCCAAGGCGAAGGCCACAACCAAGCCTACTACCAGCCATGCTGTGCCTTAGTATCAAGCCCAAGGGGGCTTCCTTAGTCCTGCATGTGCAACTAAGATAAATCCATGACTTAGGTAATGGAAAGAGAGTCCCATATGTTCGAGCTACCCTGCTCCCATCTTCGCGAGGTTGCCGCGGTAAATTGGAATTTTTGGGCCTGTTATCAGCTCCAACCAGTAAATCTTGGGGCCTGCTATCAATGCCAAGTTAAATGAACTTTGGGGAGGGGGCCTGCTATCAGCGCCAAGTATTAGCCTCTACTTGTAGAGGGAAGCCTCTCTCAAAGGCTGCTATCATCTTGGTAAGATATTCCCTCTGCAACTTAGTTGCTGCGGTGATAGTTGCTGAGGTAACCATTTCTCGCGGCGAGTTCAGACGGCAGGACCGACAATATTAAAGATACCAGTGCCGACAAAAATGCCTTGGCAACTTGGGCGCTGCAAGTACTGCCTCTGCAACTTAGTTGCTTCGATTTTCTCCTTCCCTCAGCAACTTCGGATGGTGGCAGAACCGAAGATATTAGGAATGACGGCATTGAGGCAAAATGCCTCAACAACTTTCCCACTGCATTTATTGTCTCTGTAACTTGACCGTTGCATGTGTTTCCTCTGCAACTTGACGTGGTCATTTTCCTTCATGGAGCCCGTTTGGACCCTTGGCGGGTCAGACCTACTTCAGTCCACTTCCCTTGACCCATGCTCCTTTTTCATTCATGGTCGCCTTTTTGGGACGACCTCAATATTTAGGCCCATACTCAATTTGGGGCTTAATTTATGACCCTCTACAATTATAATCATTTTTTTTTTCTTTAGTTATGACCCAATTTTAATTATGGCTCATGAGATCTTTGATTCTGTGTCATTTGTTGTTTGGTAATGACTTCTTTTTTTCTTTTTTTTTTTCTAGTTATAACTCGTAATTTGTTATTTAATAAATTCTTGGATGCCCAGTAGGCGTTAAATTCAAATCCAAGAAAGGAATTTATTACCTTACAAAACTATGAGTGTTCTTTAAAATTAAGTTACTTTCTTCAATCAATATTAAATGGGCGATCTTTAAAATTAATCTCATTCAAGCCTAAATGATTTTGATCAAATAAATATATATTATGTATTTTATGTTTTTTAAAAAAAAATTTGCATTAAACACAAGGTTGTTTTAAAAATTAGTTATTTTAGTTAAAAAAAATTTATGTTTTACAAAAATAAAAAGAAAAATACATCGTTTTATATATATAAATATATATATATATTGGGACTAAAAAAGCTAGTTTCCAAATGGTTAGGGCTTACCTCTAGTCCAGATGCTAGATTGGAAGGTTCTATTGGGCTCACTTTTGGGCCTTTTTTAGATAATTCGAACTGTTCACACTTTAAGGTTTGTTGATTACTTTATTCATGTAAAAAAATCACGTCCAGTAGACTGGAAGGTTCTATTGGGCTCACTTTTGGGCCTTTTTTAGATAATTCGAACTGTTCACACTTTAAGGTTTGTTGATTACTTTATTCATGTAAAAAAATCACGTCCATCGGATAACGAATATTATGTATTTAGATTACTTTTTTATGAACCGTTAATTTTCTGACCGTCTATTTTTTTTAGACAAAAGTGATCTGAATATATAGTATCCGTTATCCGATCAACGTAATTTTTTATAAGAATAATATACTCAATAAATGTTAAAATGTGAATAGTTTTGATTATCGAAGAGAGACTCAAAAATAGATACAATAGACCGAATTGGACCAGACTGTCCCAAATCTAGATTGGAGGCAGTCTGGATCCTTTCCAAATTTGCCTATAGAGTGAAAAAAGAAACTAAGGGTTCGTTTGGGATGTGGGTTAATTTTTTGACTTTTTAATTATTTTAGCCTGAGATTAAAAAGTCTCGTTTGGAATAGATTTTTTAATTTTTTTTATTTTTATGAGAAGAAAATGAAATAATTATGTTTTTAATATAATATTTTATTTTATTAATTTTATAATCTATTTTATTTTTTTATAACTAAAATAACTAAAAAATCAAAACTTTTTTTTGATATGCCAACGATGGCTAAAGATTTTTCTAAAGGAAGAAAGAGGAAAATGTGAACTGAGAGAACGTGAAAAATGAGAATGCGGCTAATCTCTAGGACCCACGAGTCACAAGCTACTACAGTATAGAATAGTTACTCCCCTCCGATCACGCCCACACGTAGCGGGTGGTGATTTGAAAATAAGAAAAAAAAAAAAATTCAATCAAATGAGAGAGAGAAGGGGTCAAAGGGAGTGGAAAAAAAAAGAAATCTTAAACATTTTTGTTATATATATTGATAGCATTAGCCATGGTGAATGAGCAAAACATTGAACCATGCTGATCGAAATAGCAACACTGAACCTAAACACACGTCCCACAATAATAACAACAATGATAGGTGGCCCAAAAAATTATAGTTCGAATGACTTGAAACACCCAAAACGACGTCGTTTTGGATGTAAAACAATATCGTTTTGATACATTCGAGCCACAAAAATTCGGGTCACCAAATATTTTTCCAATAATAAATACTAGTTAGGTTATGTCTGACATGAATTTTTTTTATTATTTTAACTAGAAAAAGATCAAATAAGCTAAAAAGTTAATGATCGTTTCATTTTTTATTTCACAAAAGTTAAAAAAAAATTAAAAAAATACATCTTAAATATAACTTTTTAGCCCCAAATTAAAATAGTCAAAAAGTCAAAAAATTAAAAAATCAACTCATATTCCAAACGAAAACTTAGTTGCTAGCAGTATTTAAAGCCACCAACAATGATTTAGACCACTAAAAAATACACCACTAATAGCACTAATGTATTGAGAATGACAAAAAAAAAAGAGCAAGGCATAGAAAGTGGACGGAGTCCACTGCCACATCATTAGTGCTCCTCCTAGTACTCATTTTTTAGTGCTCCCAAGCATTTTTCTTAAAGCCACCTACTGCTGCAATACTTACATGATTTTTAAAGCCACCTGCTGCTGTAATACATCCATGATTTATATCTAACCAGGATCTCAATCAAAGCTGCCTATTGCTGCAATACTTCCATGATTTATATCTAACCAGGATCTCAATCAAAACTGCCTATTGCCTTATATTGTAGTATATTTATTTGTGTGTTCTATAAATTTTTTAGCGGCATTATAATACGTGATTGTTTGTATTTACGTAGAAGTGGAGGTGCTGCCAAATGTTGGAGGAGAGTTGGAGAATAATAAATACTGATAGTAATAATTAACAAGGGGGAAGGGTTTGGCTGTTAGGCACTTTGTGAGGGCGAAGGCCACCAGTCAGTCACACACAGCCCAAACCAAACAAAACCAAAAAACAAAGAAAAAATAGTGGGGGCGCGGCGAGCTAGAGCGAGAGAGAAGTGAGAATTTTGGAAGAAGCGAAAGGAAAGGGCCTACGGCAATCCGAACAAGACGACTCTCTGCCGCTTATCTCTCATCTCTCAAACATCCTTATCCATTTCAAAACACCACTCTTCTTGTCTTTTCTTCTTTTGCTGCTGCTGCTGCTGCTCCCTCCTCCTCCTCCTTCTCCTCCTCCTAATCCATATCTAATAAGATTCCCTTTTTTTTTTAATTAAAAAAATTGCTCCCCTCTCCAATACTCATCAGTGAATGTTCTCTTCTTATCTTTATATATCTCAGTTCGTCTTATCTGCCTGCCTGCCTGCCTCCCTCCCTCCCTCTGAATATCATCGCTGTGCTAAACGCTTTATCCATTCGATTGAATCGAGTGGGGTTCTTTTTGTTGCTCATTGCTTTTAATTGGACAAATATATATATATATATATATATATTCCTGTGTATTCTGAGGGAGGTGGTGGGTCTGTCATATGGCTATTTTGTTTGAGATCTTACAACGATCCACAATTGGGGATGTATTCATGCTCATGGCCCCTCTGTGGATTGCGATTTTAGTTGGGGTTTTTGTCGGCTGGGCATGGAAACCCAAATGGGCAAACCTCATTGCAAATTCATTTGATTGTTCAGCTTCCAAAGGAGGAGGAGGAGCTGGAGGTGCTTCTTCTTCTTCTTCTTCTTCTTCTTCACCGTTGCCGATTGGTTTTTGTTCCATTCCAAACTTGAACTTGAATCCATTCAAATTGCAATTATCCAGCTGCATTCCTTGGATTGCCAATTATGACTTCGCAAAGGGGATTTCATCTCTACCATCAATCATCTCAAATTTCGACTGCACCAGCAGCAGCAGGTTGGTTGAAAATTTTCTAAATTATTATTCGCACCATTTCGCTCCGTTTCGTTTAATAAGCTAAAGCTTACTTATTAATTGGTCCAATCAAAATTGTTCAAAATCCCTCGGATGTTGGAAACTTAAACTTGGGATTCAAAAGTGTTTTAGTGTCATGGATTTTCAATCTAAAGTAGTTCAAAATTCTAATGTTAACAAGCTTTCTAACTATTTGATTGTAATTTGTCAGTTCATTACATCTAGAAAAGGAAAAATCAGCTGTTGTTGTTGTTGTTGTGGCCAAAGATGATTTAGAGCATTTATGCCGACTTGTGGAGGAGAAAGATGGTGGCCCTTCTTGGATTCAGATGATGGATAGGTCTACACCCAGTTTGAGCTATCAAGCTTGGCGGAGAGATCCTGAGGTAATGCTTTTCTTTATCAATGTTGTTTTCCTTTGATTCACTAAATTAATACTAGAATGAAACCAGTGGCACTTTGTTTGTGCGAGTGAACCGGTAGTCACTACTCCATTCCGTACTACCCCTACTTAGCTATATTGTTGCAGGTCATGTAATGTAACTCACTTGTTTATTTATGTTGGTTTCTTCATACTACTTGTGGTTGATTACATCAAAATCTTCATGGCTTTTTTTCCCTCTTCCAGAATGGGCCCCCGCAATACCGTAGCAGGACAGTCTTTGAGGATGCCACTCCTGAGATGGTAAGGGATTTATTTTGGGATGATGATTTTCGATTGAAGTGGGATGACATGCTTATACATGCTGAAACTTTGGAAGAGTGTCCCAACACGGGAACCATGGTAGTTCGGTGGGTACGCAAGGTAGGGCGAGAACTCTCTTTTTTATCCTTTTTAATTCTAATGCTTTGTTTATATTGATCCCACGGGCTTATGTTTTGTAATGTTTTCTTTTTTATTTTTCCTTCTTTCTTTTTTGGCACAGTTTCCCTTCTTCTGTAGTGATAGGGAATACATTATAGGCCGTCGAATTTGGGAATCTGGACGAGCATATTACTGTGTTACAAAGGTATAAAGAACAATGTACTATCCTTCTCTTTAGATCATACTCATATCCGTTTTGTACATTTTTCTAAAAATTTTGCGATGAGGCTAGAAAATTACCAGACCATTATTTTATTTTGTCTCTCCTCTCGATGGGAATTAGCAATCTTCCATATGGTGGTTGTTTCTTTGATCTGTTTTTGAGATAAGAATTATTTGATATTTTAATTTTCTTGGTGTATATGTTTTTGAATAAAATGTAGTATGGCTGTGAAAGAAATTGTTCTTGAATAATTTCAGTTGTGTCTTAGTGTTGAAATTTGAAAATAACATAATTAGTGTCAAATCATGCACCCATAAAAATTTAATTTTGTTGGGGATATGAGATATAACAGTAAAATTTTAATACCCTTGTAGTTACCTTTCCCCACTCCAAGTGCTATTATTTTACAAATGCAAGGAAGATTGCTTCCAGTGGCAGCTCGAGAAACACATTCAAAAACTTAAGTTTTACAAACTATATATATAGAATTCTCCTTTTTATTATGGTGATCAGTTTTCTTCCTGGCAGCATATAATCCCAGGAATTAACTATTTTATTCTATATATATATATTTTTTTTTGTATGTTTCAGGGAGTGCCCTGCCCCTCTGACCTGCAGCGCAACAAGCCAAGACGTGTTGATTTGTATTATTCAAGTTGGTACATACGTGCAGGTACTTACAGCCTCTTGCTATACATATTTCACTAATTTTTGCATTTTAATTAAAGGACTTAATTGTTTGACATATGCCTTTTTCAGTAGTTATGCTACTACCTAAAGTATAGCCCTTTAGAAATAGAGTTTTTCTGAAATGAGAAATTACAATTGTACTACCTCAAATATAAACACTTAATATTTCTGGTCACTGAACCTCTCAGTAAGATCTGTATTTTTGGATGTTACTCAGTTGAATCAAAGAGAGGGGATGGTCAGCTGACTGCATGTGAGGTGTTACTGTTCCATCACGAAGAGATGGGTATACCTTGGGAAATTGCAAAGCTCGGAGTCCGGCAGGGAATGTGGGGAGCTGTCAAGAAGATTGACCCTGGCTTGCGCGTGTACCAGAGAGAGAGAGAATCTGGTGCTTCACTCTCACGGTGTGCTTTCATGGCTCAGATCAACACCAAAGTTAGTGCAGACTTCCTGAGATCCTTGGAAAGCACAAGTGGTTCATCAGAGGTTGAAACCCCAAATTCATCTGAGAAGCCCTCAAGGAGGAACATGCGCAAGTTTCTATTCGTTGGTGGGGCTATAGTGCTTGCTTGCAGTCTTGACCGAGGGCTTTTAACAAAGGCAGTTATATTTGGAGTGGCCAGAAGGTTCACAAAGATTGGTAAGAGGTGGTGATTGGGATGTTTTGACATATGTGTACCAAGATGTCATGGAAGACATGTTTTTGCAGCAAGTGAGGAACTATTTTTTTTTATTTATAAGATCTCCTTCCATGTCTTAAATATGTGGAAGGTGTTGTATTCTTTTTTTTGAGCCACGAAGCAGCTACAGTTCAGGAGAAGAGATAAGATTGAAAAGTTGTATTAGATGAAAATGAAAATCTCATTAAAGGATCTTATGCTGCAGAAATAACAGGCAGATTTAGTTGCTTTTCTTTCATTGATTTTTCTCCCATGTTTTCTGCGCTATTTTGGATGATGACAACAATTGTTAGGTTTTTATTCTTGGCAATCCCGCTTGACAAAATTCCTTTCAGTTGTACTTTTATTCGTTCTTTTATTTCAGTGAAGCTATGAGTACTTAGATGCGAATCCAACCCGAATTGTGCCTTGCAGAGCAGTTTCAGAAGATAATTCTTTCATGTTTGCCACTTCATTGACTATGTCGGGGATCGAGTTGCCCGGTCAGCTTGCGGGAGTCCAGGGGGCAGCGCCCCTTGGCAAGTCCGGGGTAGCGCCACGGCAGGTTGAGAGGCAGCGCCCCCGAAGCAAAATGCAAAAATACAAAAATGCATTCAAAGTTACTTGTCCACTTGAGCGGCCGTTTGTACGCTCAAGTAGAGAATTTTTTATTCCAAAAGTTCGATCGCCTACAAAAATACTGGGAGTTGCATTTTTCCGCTCGAGTGGAATTTCTTGCGCTCGAGCGAAGATCATAGAACAGATTGCTATAAATATGTGTTTCAGTCAGATTTTAAGGTTACGGCTTCCAGATCTTGTTTGAGGGTTCTAGGGCTTCTTCTGGAGCTATTTTGCTAGTTTTCTTTGATGTTTGGTTGAGTATTCAACTCATGGTTTAAGAAGTATACATCAAAGGATTGTTTGTTTATTCTATACAAAAGAGAGTGTTCTTCTTCGGTGGATTCTGGGGAATTCGGGCCTGAAACTTTGGTGGATTCTAGAGTGGCTCATCGTCGTGATTCAACATCAGCGTTGTAGATTCAACGTTGGGCAAGACAGTTCCAAGGTGAAGACCGTGTTAGAAGAGGCATATAGGAGTCGGTTCAATTCGGGTATGGATTCGCTGGGTAATTGAGAGTACATTTGTGTAATTCATTTTATCTTATTAGTGGATTATTTTGTGGCTTTAGCCTGTGGTTTTTTATCACAATTGGAGGCACTCCAATTGTGATTTTTCCACGTTAAAATCGTTGTGTCGATTTGTCTTGATTGTGTTGATTGGGATTGATATTTACTGCTTGAAATTGATATATTATCACAAATCAATATCTAAGGGATTTCTAAATTTTTCAACAATGAGCAGCATTTGGTATATTTAACGGGTAATTATAAAATAGTGGAAGAAATTGCACATCCATGATTTTGCAATTACTTTCCTCTACTTTTTAAGAAAAAACGAAAAACACCATCCTCAATGATATGATAGTCACGTTTTTCAAAATTTGAGTCAAAATAATGCATGTTTTTATTTGAATTGAAAGGATAACGTATTTTTCTGTGTAAAAGAAAATTGACAACAAATTAGTTTGCTTATCATCACTCTTGTAGGGGCAGGAAGTATGTTGTTGAATATGAATCAATTCATATGTTTTGTTTTGATTAATGGCAAGCAGAGGGTGAATCACAAAGAAGAGTGGTTGTCCGTACAAGAAACAGTGTGACACCAGCAACAAGGACTCAAAACAGAATCCGATTACCTCCAACGGGCAATGTCAAACAATGGTCAAATGCAGAACGGTGGGAAAGAAGAAAAGAAAAAACTCGCTTTGTGCCTTAGATGCTTGCATTTAGGAAGGAGAAATTATCTCAATAGATAGGACCTATATTCTATTCTACATTTTAGGTGATTTGTCATTCTAATTGTATAATATCATTTAATTTTTTTTATTATTATTATTATTTCTGTAATGGTTATGAAAAAATAATTATATATTTTTAAATTTTTTTTTGTTACAGGTGAGACTCACTAAATAACTCATGGTTTAGAAAAAAAATTAGTTAGTGCTCCTGGGTTGATATGTGACAGTACTCTTTATCAATCACAATAAATTATATTCTTATATATAATTTTTCAATCATCTAATACAAAATTGTGAGTGTTGTGGGTTGTCTTTTCCCCAAACCGCATAAATGCGGGCGGGTCCAAACCGATCCGCAAACCGTCCAAATCCGAACCACGAACACCATGAAACCATGCAAGGAGACTGGTGTGTGTTTTGGATTTAACCCTTTAAAGCTAAAGTAGTAATTAAACAATTTTCTTTTCCTTGTGCTTTGGGTGGTATTCCGTTACCATTAAGCATAGCATAACGGCTCATTTGCATTTTAGAATTCCGTGGAAGTCTTAAAATAAAACTTACTTTTTTGAGTGAAGAAGAGAAGATGAAGTTGCAGGTGTGGAGACTGTAGCTCACACAATATTATACGCTTGACAGGTGGGGGTGTGTGTCTACTTGACGCCTTTAAAGTTAGACGACGCCGTTACACCATAACCTGCTCTTCTTTTGCATGATAGATTCTCTCTTCAACCGACTCTTCTTCAATACTACTTACCCGGAGGATTCCATGGAGTTCAACAGAGCCAACTGCTCTTCAATACTAGTTGTCTTCTTTATCTTAGGTACTATCTAATTTTTTTACTAATACTTTTCTTTGTTGGTTAGCTAGTTAGTTTAGTTTTTTTTTTTTCCAAGCCTGATCGATCTATTTATATATATTTATTTATTTATTTATTGATGGGGGGAAATGTGTAGGGTTAGTGTTTCCGGCGTCCATGGTTGCAGCGATTGGGATCAACTACGGGCAGATTGCGAACAACCTTCCGTCGCCGGAAAATGTAATACCGCTGGTTAGATCGATTGGGGCGAGTAAAATAAAGCTGTACGACGCGGATCCAAGAGTACTAAAGGCATTTGCCAACAGCAGCGTGGAATTCATAGTGGGACTGGGAAACGAGTACTTGGGGAAGATGAGAGATCCGGACAAGGCACAAGCCTGGGTGAAGACAAACGTAGGAGCATACATCCCTGCCACAAAAATCACCTGCATCACAGTCGGAAACGAAGTGTTGACACTGAACGACACTTCTCTGAGCGACAGCCTCCTCCCGGCGATGCAGAGCGTCCACACGGCTCTGGTGAACCTCAATCTGGAGAAGCAGGTCAGTGTGACTACCGCACACTCCCTGGCTGTTCTTGAAACCTCCTATCCACCCTCTGCAGGAGCATTCCGTCCAGATCTCAGGGGACGTATTACTCAGATATTGGACTTCCATCTCAAAACCGGTTCCCCTTTCCTCATCAACGCCTACCCTTTCTTCTCCTACAAGGCTAATCCAAAGCAAGTCCCTCTCGACTTCGTCCTGTTTCAGCCAAACTCCGGAATTGTAGATCCAGTCTCCAATCTTCACTACGACAACATGTTGTTCGCACAGATCGACGCCGTTTACTCTGCCCTAGCATCCCCATCCCTATCCCTAGGAGGAGGAGGAGGAGGCCCTTACAAGAAACTCCCCGTTCAGATCTCCGAGACTGGTTGGCCTTCCAAGGGAGACCAGGACGAAGCAGGGGCCACTCCCGATAATGCCAACAAGTATAACACCAATCTCATGAAGCTCATTGCTCAGAACAAGGGAACCCCCTTGAAGCCCAATTCCGACCTCAATATCTACGTTTTTGCTCTCTTCAATGAGAACATGAAGCCCGGCCCCACCTCCGAGAGGAACTACGGCTTGTTCAACCCCGACGGCTCTCTGGCCTATCCACTCGGCGGCCTCACCGCCAATTACAACATCGTCAATAACACCACCACCACCACCACCACCACCAATGCCTCTTCCTCTGGCGGAGGTACAAGTGCGACGAATGCGCCTTCGCCGCCGCAGAGCTCTTCCACTGGTTATTTATCTATCTCGGCGGCAGCGGTGAGTTTTTCATTTTTAATCAAATTACTATTATCATCATGTCATTGGCTAAGATAAGATTCCATAGTTTGATTAAAATTAAAATTAAAAATCAAAATCAACATTGAATTGTGATTTTCTTTTAATTCAGGTCTTGTTGGTAATGGCAAAAAGAAAGAAAATATTTATTATTATGATGTCACTGGCCGTGATAAGAATAGATTAGTTTGGTGAAACGAAACCCATCATTGGATTGTGACTTTCTTACTATTATTATTTATTTGGGATTGGGAGTCATGTCATGTGTGCATAATATTTTATTTTGTGACTTGAATGAATACGGCGGTCTCGGTTTTGGTTTCTGGAGGCAGTTACTATATTTCCTTGGGATTGGGATAATAAGATAGTCCACTTATTAGTTGTTGTCTGTGACTTCAGGGAAGATTGCATTTTGATAGCACTTGGGTTTATATGTGCCTGGTGGGGTTACTTTCTCTTCCGGTCTTCTAGATTTTTAGTCAGTTGCATTGCAGAATTCAAAACTTGAAAATTCAAACGACGCTCAAGGTGACATCAGCTTTAGTTTTGGTGGATATGGGATGGATGGAGGAGAAAGAGAGAGAGATAGAGAGAATAACAGGGAGGGAGGGAGCTTCTCTGTAACTGAAGGTAAAGATAGAAAATTTCTTTTTGTTATTCTTTGGTTCAATCGATCATGTTTCTTATTAAAACAATGCTTCCATGTACTAAAAATATATCCGTTTTAATATATCATTGAATGCTTAAATATTATTATTAATTTTTTAATAATTAATCACATTTTACCTATTACACTTTTAGTTAGTGCCCTCCTCTCCTCGTACCCACTTCACTTTCACCTCTTTTCTTTTATCTTTATTTGAAATGAGTTAGTAGGTTGGCCCACTTGACGAAAGAGGGTGTTTGGTGCACTGAACTGAATAATGAGGAAAGATGGAGGCTACTTTTTCTCTTTTTTGTTGGCTTGGCACTCAACTCATGTGTTACTTTTTCTTTTCATTTATTTTTTGGGCTCTTTTGCAGGAGATTAAGATGAGGGAATATTAAATTTTAGGCTTGTACATATATGCTCTGCTAGGGGGAATGCACCATGTTAATTTTTCGTCAGGCAAGGATTTTGGATGAGATTTCAATTTATTTATGTTTCTTTGCAATCCCCTCCCATTTGTTTCTAGTGTAGGAGGAAGCTTAATGTTATTTTCATTATGATGTCTGTCATTGGCATTTTGACATTAGTTAACTTAAATGAAACAATGATTATGACACACTCTGTATATCTATTGAGTGCTCATTGCTGCTTTTGCCGAAAGAGCTGTGATTGGGAGCCCGAATGTGGGAGCCCCGAATGCCCCTAATATACAAAACGCCGTCGTTTTTGTATTTTTTTTTTTCAGCAAAAGAAGGAAGAAGACGGAGGAGGAGGAGGAGGAGGAGGAGGAAGAAGGAGGAGGAGGGGACTGGAGGGGGCATACTCACAGGGGGAGGAGAGGCGGAGGCGGAGCCGGAGGCAGCAGTCGGAGGCTGCGACGAGCTCGGCGGGGCTGCGAGCTCGGAGGCGACGAGCTCAGAGGCAGCGATCGGAGGCTGCGACGAGCTCGGCTGGGCCGACGACCGACCTCTCTTCTCACTCTTCTTTTGTGGAACCCAAGTATAAATTTCTCTATGGTCTTAAACAAGTCCCTCGTCCTTGGTTCTCTTCTCTCTCTCTCTCTCTCTCTCTCTCTCTCTCTTCTGAAAATCGGGGCATTCGGGGCGGGGAAATTCAGGACAAAAAACATTTCTCTTGCCGAAATCGGTCTCTTTTGACAAAGAGGTTAAAAAGTAATTTTTTTTTTTAGTTTTTTAGCTTTTTCAATTCATATTATCTCTATTTTTTTACACATTAAAAAAAACTAAAAAATGAACTTTTAACATACTTCCAAAACAAGCTATCTCATATCATACCATATCAGGTTGAAGTCTGACTGACTGATATATGGAGTGGAGTTTCAACTGGTTGTTATTATAGTTGGAGTCTGGTTTTGTTGTCAGTTTAAACATCATTTTCTCATATTTGTTAGTAACTTCTAATTTGCATCAATGGGCTCAAATAAAACCCAACGTCCACAGATATGTGCACACTCAACTTAATTTTGTCTACCATGGCTCTGTTTTTGTGCACATGGCGGCACATCCCTAAAACCGTATTAAGGGGTGTGAGATAGAGATCAACCAGAGACGCTCCTTAACTACGAGGTGTGGTGCGGTGCGGTGCGTTGCATGGTGGAAGAAATTCAAGGTATATATTTTCATATAGCGACGACAAGGTCACCAATTAATTTTAACATCAAAAATTTGGGCAAGGGGTGCATGCTGTGTGCACTCTTTGGAGACGTGCCCCATGTCTCGAACCTATTTTGATAATTCAAATAGTTTATATTATAAAGTTTGTTGAGTATATTATTTATAAAAAAAATCAAGTTAATTGGACATTTATAATCCTATGATAAAATCCTAACTGTTTCAAAATAAATTATCAAAATTATGTTAATTTTTTAAATAGAAATGTGTTCTTATTTTGGGATTATCGATATTCAATTAATATAAATTTTTTCATGGATGATCTACTCGACAAATCTTACAATATAAACGATTCGGATTAACGATGTCAACCCGGTACAAGGCCGCATAGGCCTCAGAACACCGTGTCATGCCTAAGGCACAACACGCACCCTGCTTCCGAAAACATTGTAAGGCAGTGCACTTAAGCATGGCTGTGAAATATCCACCAACTCTGTGTTCTGTTGCCCAAACCAAAGTTCTCTCTTTCCCAGGCATTCATTCCTCCTTTGGAAAAATTCCGACTTACATACTACTACCAAATCGTCTACCAAATGGTATCAATTTTTTTTTCATTTTTGGTTTTGGCATTATAATTTGAGCATACATTCAAGTATTTTTATAAATTTTTTCACATATTTCTTTACAATCTCTATACATTCCTATATATCTTTTACATTTAGATTATCTTTTGAATGACATCAATCTTGATGGGGAATGTAAAAATATGATTCCCGATCTCTTAAATCCAAAATGTAAAAATATGATTTCCGATCTCTTAAATCCAAGGTTTGGAACGAATTGAAATGGAAATTTGATTTTCCCCTATCTATTTTAACAGGAATCACATTTCCAAACTAAATAGCAATCTAATTCCCCTACTTTACCATGAGAATCTCACATTTCCAAAAAGATATAAGCCATTTAAGAGAATAGTATTGACACGAGAATTTTATCACTAGTAATGAGATTTTCAATCCCCTTCAAGATTCTTGCCATTCAAACATAGCCTTATATCAAGACTAATAACAACTCATATGCAATCATTAACATTTTCCTTCCAATACAAGCACATAAAAGTACATACAAGGACCACAAATGAGTACATCAATAGCAGCACAATGGCATTTTAACTTTCCTCTGTTTGTCCAATTAACTACGGAGGCAAGGGAAGCAAAACAAGTGTCTTGGTAGCTAGAACAAGTATTCTGTGAAAAATGGGGACTAAATAACCTGCAAGTGAGAGAGAAGGCTTCACAAGAAGAATATCCAGGATCCTATCAGTGTACCACAAATCCATCCAAAATTTCTTTCTAAAAAGTATATTTAACTTGAATAAAAATAGAGCTAGTCCCCTTGCCATGACCTAGGTGCCATGTGACTGAATACATGCCCCTGGTATTATGTTCCCGAGCCACTGTTCTCATCTTCAACCAAGAGCCCCCACCAAGTTTCCTCTGCAAGACAACAAACACCACACTGTTCGCAGCCAAATTCTACATCAGATCAACTTTCTTATAGAAAGCAGAGGCACAAGAACCAATGGAAAGCAAAATTAAAATGCACCAACATGCACCCAGAGATGGACTTCAAGAATTCATTTGACCCTGGGATGGCTCTCCCAATCCAACATTTTGTTTGACTTTAACTCTTTGGTAGAACAACACATAAGCAGCAGAAGTCTTGACTTCAGCTTCACTAACAGGTGATACATGGGCATCATCAAAATGAAACCATCTGCTATCATCAATTAACTGCAAATTCAATAAGCAAAACTCCCAAGTTAATACAGAGTCCTACAAAAGAATGATATCATGCCTTGGCATGACAAAGCATGATAGTTTTGTATGATACTCAAAAAACAGAATAATCTACATATATAATTTTCTATATATACATTAAAAAGATTACACTTTGGTCTCCTCAAATCCTAGTAATGGTAATTTGGACATAGGAGTCACTTTGGCCATACTTAATACTGAATAATTGGAGGACAAGCCAAATATAACAAGGATCTGCTTCCTCAAATATTCCTTTTTACTGTCGCTATGAAACCCAAACAACATGCTTGGTCTAGACTATTTGAGCTAATAATTTTTATTTTTTTTTTAAAATGATTACATGAGGCAAATTTAATATTTGAAAAAAAAAAAAAAAAAATTTGAATTAGAGGCCTCCTTTGGAAATAGGCTATTTTAGTTAACTTTTTGGCTTTTTGGCTAAAATATGAGGTAAAAAAAACTAATATATTTAAAATGACTTTTCAGTTTTTTACGAAAAAATGTGCAAAAAGTAAAGAGAAAAGGGAATCTTTAACTTTTTTGTATAGGTTATAGGTTTTTGGGTTTTTTTAATAACTTTTTCACTTTTAGGTTAAAACACTCGCATGCCAAATGAAAATAATCTATAAACCAAAAGAACCGAACGAAAACCCTGGTTAAGACGCCAACTAGCAAGATGGCATAATCTAGGTTTTCTCAGGCAGATTGGGTTAAAAAAAACTAACGAGAAATCCATAAGCACACACACAATGCATATTTTGTGTTACCTTAGCATAAGCAGAGTAGTGCCCTCCACCAAGGCCACCATAGTGGTTGCTAATGGCATACAGCTCATATACATGAGACTGTCCGAATGCATCATTAAATTTCACATACTTGCTTAAATCAAGATTGTGAATCGGGAAATTCACAAAGGTGTCTAGTTTGTTCTTCAGGTATCGGCTGTATGAGAACCGTTTTAAGTGAAAGACTAGTATATCTGGCAACCTCCACAAGTCTAACTTCTTGGTGGCTTGCCTGTGTTCCTTGCAACGAGGGCAATACCTACATTGAAATTTTGAAACAACAAAAAATGAGGCAGTAATACTTGAGGTGAATTGCTCTGAAAATATGCAATTCGGCTGGTCAAAAGCATTAAAAGTATTCTACCACATGTCATCAGGCCCTAAAGGTTCCTCCTTTAAAAATGCATCCAAGCATGAAAATAAAGAGATAGCTTCTTGTCGAGTTTTCTTCACGGTAAGCTCGGTCTTGTGAACCTCAGGAACATCCTTTAAGTAGCTGGAATCATATAATTTGTGTTCTTTATCAGTCCAATCCAGCATAACTTTAACCAGTTGACCAGTTTTTATGAGTGAATCCTTTGAAATAGGCCTGCAGTTCAAGCCTCTGTTATCTGTTATGCAGAGCTGAAAGGTCAACTCCCTGCAGGACATTTCTTCCAGTTCTAAGGTGTCCATCGACTGGTTTCCAGGTCCAGAATGGGTAGCGTAGATGTTTGCTGATTCATCAATAGCTTCCACAGCAGAGCCATTTTCCTTGCCACTATGAACAATAGTTGAACTAAAATAAGTTTTCTTTCTCAATGGAGACAACACTCTACTAATAGCAAGATCGATGTCAGCTCCAGTTTGTGGGTCCTCCAGATAGGTAACCAGTGGTGTCAAGAAAAGTTTCCTCTCACTGCCCTTGAAATTATCTGACAAACATCTGGAAAGCAATGAGGCTTTAGTTACAAGGAAAAAGTCTGAAAACTAATAAATGTTTACTTAAAACAAAGGTGTCATCTATCCCAGTACACAGCAACCGGACTTGAGACCTGGGTTACATCCCACCTTCATTCACTTCTTTTATTATTTTTCCTTCCTTTTTGGTTTTTTGTTTAAGGGTTATTCCTATAATGTAGCTCATTGCCTTCAGACCAAAATACTAAAAAGATCAATCAGAGCATCTATGCAACTAGGCAATTTGGCATCCCTAACAAGGAAATAAAAACCATACTCATACAGACATGTCAACTGTACCCAATAAAGACCAAAACACACAAGGCATGCTAGGATTCAAGATTTTTGAACCTTAGCCCAGTGGAAACCTAACAACTATGGATTCAAGAATGAGAACTCACTTTTCTAAGTCTTGATGACATATCTCTAGTCTTGTTAATTCTGCCCGCTTTGGAAGCCTGTAGGCTACAATATGTTCATCATCTTTTATAGAACGTAACGGTTCCAAAGGGCTCTCTAAATATCGATATATTCGATGTTCGTAAACCTGCATATTAAAAATCCAGGGCTTCAGAAGACTAATACATAAAGAATTAGCAACAGATTAGTAAATATATAACAGAAGTCAAGAAGATATAAATTACCTCTGCAAGCAACAGGATTTCATCGCTCCTTAAGCAGCATGCAGTACTCAGAGCCTGACTGAGATCTTTACAGAAGCCATGTTTTAGGACAGTAACAGTGTATTGCGTTGGAAGACCACTCACATCACCATAAAATACGGTTACTGTCATTGTCCGAGTAGAAGGTAGCGGCAAAGATAAGTACATGAAGGGGTCGAATGTTATTGAAATTTTGTTGCAAATTGGGCAAACCAATGTTGATTTATATTGGCCCTGGGTATTTTGTAAACAAGAAGTTAGCTTGTTATTAAACAATGACAAAATACAATGAAAACAAATGTGGTAGGGAACAGTAACTCATTGTGTTAAAACTGTAACAACAATTAAGGATGACAAGAACTGATCAAGCCCCTCCCCACAAAACACATATGAAAAATTGTTTAAATAAATAAATAAATAATAAAAATTGATAAATCCTACCAGAAACTACCAGTCATAGACATCTGACATTTATCATAACCAATTGCTGTAACCAAGTCAAGTTAGCCAATGAAAGAACCTAGAATTCCCAAATAAAAAGACTACAATAATGTCTTATCAGTCCAGTTGTCAGTAACTGCTAACAGCATTCACCCTCCTCCCCAACCCCCACCAACACAAAAAAAAGTTTAGATAAGGGAAAACATACTAAAATAAGTTGGCCTGCCATGTTTAGACACATACACACACACAAAGAAAGAAAAAGAAGAATAGAAAGAAAAACAAGCAAAAAATAAGCACCCATTAAATTTTCGAAAACTAATCTTAATTTGTCAAAAAATTATAATCTACACCAATTCACAAAATTTACGTTACGGTCAATTATCTTGGACACACAAAACTTGTAGAGTAGCTTGATTGTTGTAACCAAAATACTGACATTATCCATTGCTTTCATCCAAGCTAGATCTAATGTCATTTCATATAAAGTTAACAAATACAAGATGAACATATAAAAGAATATACTCACTTGGCAAACATCCACAATTATGGAGTCATTCCGAGCTTTGTGATTTCTCCAACACTCATCTGCAACTTCCTCATCAGGGCGACCATCAGAATCCTTTGTCTCAATATATGGTTTTTGCTTAACACGATTCAAGTCTTCATGCAGCCCATCCAGCAAGAAGGCAAGGAGTTCCTATAGTAAAAATTCATTCTTTCTTCTAATTATTGACAAGGGATGAAAAAAAGAAATGAGTGGAATGAAATTGCTTTTTATACATTTTATGCAAAAGGTAGCAAACAACAAAACAACAATTGAATGGCTACATATGTGAAGCGAAGTCTCACATCGCTTGGGTACTAAAGTAATGTGTAGCATAAAAGCGTGAGGGCACCCTCACCACAATAGCTAGCTTTTGGGGACAATGTAACAACATAAAGTTTGTCTAAATAGCAATTTTGTCTGTCTGATGTTGGATTACTAGTACCAAGACAATCAACTAAACACTAACAACTCTACAGCCGAATTGGAAAAACAGGTGGTGTACAACCAGAAGATGAAAATGGCACAAGAACTACAACTAGGGTTTCTAAAAATATTCTCAATCAATATTAATTCATTCAAAATTGAAACTATTCCTTACGCCATCCAATTATTTATATGTTCACCAATAGAAAAATGGAAAATTAATAAATAAAATTATAAGCTAAATCTCCTAAATTAGTATTTGACTTCCTATAGACTTCTCTCGTGCATACAATAGGTCATTAGACCTTCTTTTCCTTGATCCCCACATCATTTCTCCCTGTCTGAAAAGGACTCTCATCTGGAGAGTAATGAGCAAGAAAATGCTCCAAAAGTGCGGGATCAAGTTGATGAAACTCAGCCTCAGTGATCCATGTGCCGTCGGTGTTTGACCGATACTTCCATCTCACAAGATAGCAACAAAAACCATCCTTAGAAGAACTAACATTCTAAGTGTCAAGGACCTTGTCAATCTGATCATCATGAAACTGCAGAGGTGGTGAAGAATGAGGAACAAAAACTAGCACTGATCGAGAAGGGAAACCTTCTAACAAAGTGGGAGGCACAAAAATGACTCGATAAGCCAACAAATCCTCAACATTAGGACTAATATTAATATTGGAAGGCAAATTGAGTAAATATGCATTAACTCCAATTTTGCAAATGATAAGAAAATGTCCAATGGCTCAGGCATGAAATTTTTTGAATGAATGGTTGGAATAATGCTCAAGGTGCACACAAAACATGACATAATCCCCTTCATTAAATTCTAGTTTCCTACAGTGCACATCAATAAGAAGTTTATAATGTTCGTTACTCAATAGTAATTTTCCTCTTAATATTGACATGCAAGTCATGAATGTGTATGGCAAATGATTCAGAAAATTCAGAAAGATTGGCATCAAGAGGCAATAGGATAAGGTCAATGTGCTGGAGAAGGATGGGCATTTCACAAATGTATGAAATTTGTTGGTGTGTTTCCACTCATCATCTCTCACAGGAGTGGATAAAATGCACCTCATGACACTAATGCGAGTGTCAGCATACTCTTCAAATTCTTTGCCCTCTTCTGCTTTACACTATATAACAAGTCCTATACAGGGGTAATAACTTGGTCAACATCCTCTCCTGTTAACTCCATTAATTCCTAGTCAATAATGGCCAAGGTACGACAAGGACAATGAGAACGAATGTGCCACTTACTGTGAATATTTTAACCTATGATACACCACCAAACACGACACAAACACACGGACATGCAAATTTTCAAAAAATGGACACGACAGGCTGAGGACACGTTTAATATATATAATTTTATTTATTTATTACATGTCTAAAATTTGAAGGAAAAAAAAATCATTGAGTGTGTTTGGTTTTAGTTTTTTGAATTCAGTTTTCTGGAAATTGATTTTTTTCTTTTTTGTGTTTTTTTGTTTTTAGTGGATATTCTTAAAATTTTAAGTAATTTTTTTACTTTTTTAGATGTACCTTACTTAGATGTATCTAAATAATAAAATATTTGTGAAAAAATATTTTAAAAAATTAATAAATACACAATAATATAAAAAATGTATTGAATTTTTGTTTTTGTTTTTGTTTTTTTATTTTTTTTTTTTTTTGTATTTTTAGTATTTAGTGAATTTTTTAAAGATTTTTTTCACAAATATTACACTTTTTAAGTTTATTTATGTTAGGTGTGTCTAAAAATTTTAAAAATTAAAAAAATTCAATGAAAACAAAATAACATGAAAAATGAAAAAGTAGAATTTTCTGAAAAGTAAATTCTAAAAACTAAAACCAAACAGAGTGATTGGTTCCTATAAAATTACAATAATAATAAAATTAATAAACACTACCTAAAATTTTGAGAAACTTATGTGTAGGTCCTAATAGATGGACTATTTTTCTAATAGGTGCTATGATAATTAATAGTGTTTTTCATCAAACACTATTAAAAAATGTTATTAATTGTTAATTTTTAGTGACAGCTTGAAAATTGTCACAAAAAATGTCGCTAATTATAAATTTTAGTGACAGTTTAAAAAAAATATCACTAATTTTCAATTTTCAGCGACAGTTTGAAAAATTCGTTACAGAAAAACATCACTAATTGGAAGTTCTAAAAACAATTTATAAAAATCGTGACAACAAAAATCACTAATTATCAATTTTTAGCGGCATGCAAAAAATCGTCACAAAAATTTATTTTCAGGGATGATTTTATTAGGACTTATTTTCATTAGGACTTGCTGGGAATTAAATCCAATTATTAGGGCCTATTGGTAATCTACCCTAAATTTTTTTTAATAAAAATTGATTTTTTTTTCAAATAAAAATAATTTGTTTTTATAAATTTTAGATTCAACAAAAACATGGATATCAAAAAGAACAAGAAAAAGAAAAAAGAAAATAAAGGGAGGGAAGGAGGCGACATCAGGAGAAAAAAAGGAAGGGGGGGAGGGGAGAGAAAAAAAGAGAAGAAAAATGTAAGTAGGAGAAATACAAAAAAAGGGGGAGAAACGAAATCAAAAAAGGAAGGAGGAGAAGAAAACGAAAAGAAGAAGACAGAAGACGAAGTCGAAGTCATGAAATAGGTTACGGTTTCTTCGATCTCTTCTCTTCCCTCGATCTCTCTTTCTTTCTCTCCTCTCCAATAGGTTCGGGACTTGTTCGATCCACCTCGCGCGTCTGGAACGTGTCATCGTGTGTCCACTGCGTGTTCAACTAGAAAAATTCCAAAAAAAAATAGGAGGGGACACGTAAGAGAGAGCGTCGGACACATGTCCATAGCGCGTCTGATGCGTGTCTTCGTCCAACACTCATACGCAGGCCTCGGGGAGGTGTCTGTGCTTCATAGATTTTAACAGATGATGCAGGAAGAAGCCTGTCAAGAACTAGCAAACAAGAATGCCCATGTTAGAGAGTGTCAAGTTCTAAATTTGGGTAGAAGGGTCCCATTTGCCATCCAATCTAACGGAGTAGGAGACCATAGGGATTTCCCAAGGTATGTTGAGGACTTTGAGGATGAATTTGAGTTTCATAGGGCACTTAGACCACTAGGTAGGCACTAAGAGGGACACCAGTGGTGATCTCCACAAAGGTATCACCATGATCAGCCTAGGTATCATATTTAGGCGCCTAGAGACATCACAAAACATGTCTAAGTAGAAGCCCCGAGCTATGATGGTTGAATGGATCCTATTGTTTTCTTAGATTGTCTTGAGTATATGGACGACTATTTTGATTGGTAAAGCACACTAGGCGATCAACGAATTCATTTACTGAAATGAAATTTGTTGGTCCTACCAAATGACATTGGCACCGCATCCTAAATAATTTGGAGAGTCTAGGAGAGCCGCCCATCACATTGTAGGCTGAAATGAAACTGCAATTGAAGACGAAGTATCTTTCCACATACCATAGGGGAGGCAATTGCTTAACTTGAGACAATTTTCCTCTAGTGTGATCGATTACTTGAGTAAGTTTGATGAACTTTCCCAACGATGTGAGATTATAGAAGAACCTTGGATAAGATTCACCAAATTTGTCTATGGGTGGAGAATTGAGATCGAAAGGGAGGTCAACTTACATTCACCTGACACAATAGGAAAGCCTTACCAAAAGGCTCTAGAGATTAAGAAGTATCATAAGCTTTCTACCTCGAGGCATCTAGCTTCCCTAGCGGGAGAACCCACATAGCCTAAGTCTGTCTCATTTATACCCCAGGCATGTTTGGACACTTGTTGAGGAGTGTCCAACCATTTACTTGGAGTTAGTCACGTTATCAAAATACCATCCATACAGTGCAGAGATTGTTTTCCAGTTAGTCTCTTCATGCAATTTCTTCAACTGTTTATTATTTGCTTCTATAAAGAATCATGACAGCAAAAACTTTGCAAAAATGGTAGAGCCTAGTGGAAGAGGCACATAGGGTCTATTAAATTGAGAGCACAGTAACTAGGAGTAATAAGATGTCATGTAATACTAACTTGAGAATCATGCTGATTGAACCCACTAAACTGGGGAGCAAATCGAGCAAGTTTTCCCTTAAATGCACGGGGGGCAATTGGTGTCCGCCCAGAAGACCAGAGTTTTCTCAGTAACTCGCCAAATGCAATTGCAAGCTCGCCCTGCACAACTATAACAGATATTAGAGACTTTACGCAAAGTGTTATGTAAAATAAACTTTCCGTGATTAATTAGGACAGCCACATACATGCAAACCTAAAGGATTCTGCCTGTTGATCCCATCAATGTAATCTTGCAAGAAGTACTCAACAAGGGGAGGAGTATGGACTAAACACTGAACAGCACTATTCATAAAACAAGTATTTCCCAAATTCTGCAATCCTGCCAAACCTCCCTTATCTGCTTTCACAGCAGTCCTTGAAATGTCAAAACCATCTTCCATATCTGCAAAACCCAAACTTAATGTATTTCCTTGATTAAACTTGGAATCAAAACTGGTTGAGTCACCATTGGACAAAGTTGGGCCCCCAGCAATTGTCACAGACGATCTTGATGGTTCTATTGGAACCAAAGCCAATGCATTTCCTGTTGAATCCATGCCAAATCCAGAGGGCCAAAATCCATCAACTTCAACCTCCAGAAGAATCTGCACAGATAACAATACATCAAGAAATTGGCTAACATGTAATCAAAATGTGAATATGCAAAATTGGATGTAAACATGGAACCAAAATAAAAAAGAAAACAAAAAATATAACTCTATTGCGATAAGGCTTAGTACTTCACTAAAATAACTTGGAAACTACAATACAATGGTAAAACTGTGGGAGTAAGAACTATCCAAAACAGAATAAGGTTAGTGCATGGTCCACATTCATTTCACACATATCAGCAGAGAATTAGTCATCAGGTCTGAATCATACAAGTTTCTTCAAAATTTCCACCCACTCAGAAGTAAATTTATCATCCAGAGTACTTACATCTTGATCCATCTGCAATTCAGATTTCTCAAGGATCTGGTTTGAATCTTTCAGCATTGTATGTTTCCGTTTATTGAAGTAGTCCCAGATATTCGCCTGTTGAAATATTTATGCAATAATAGAAAAAAGGAAAAGAGATGAGTTCTCCTTAAGCAAAATAACCTAGATAGAGAGCATTTGCATATCACATACCTTTCCTGGTTCTATCCGTTTAAGTGAATACACCCTCTCATAAAGCTCGTGTAAAGATGCCTGAATAAATTAATCCAAAATGAAGTTGGTAAAATATATCAAAAATATTAAAACTTCCATTTTACCATACAACAATAAAAGGGAACATTCACAAGCTTAGCAATAGAGAGAGAGAGAGAGATGTTGCTGTCTAACAGTGAAACCTACAATCAGTAATTCAGTATTTAGGCTGACTCCATGGCATTACTCTCTGTATAGTAGTCCGATAAATAGACTTTTCGCAAGCTTGAATGAACAAACTATAAACATGCTTTATTATTCAGTTCAAAAAACTAATGTCCTATTTTCACTTTTATGTTTGAACAATTGTGCATCTTTTTTTTATTTAGGAATAATTAAACAGATCTCACATGAGGTATCTGAAAATTACAAAGACCACCCATGCGGTTTTTGAAATAATTGTGCCCTCCCGTCAGTTTTGCCCCCAGGTTGAAATTAACTTACATTATAGAAGTTAATTCAGTGTTGAAAAGTCAATTTATGAAAAGACAAAAATGCCCTAATATTGTTCTCTCTTTTTCTTCTTTCTTTCCTCAATCTACTTCCTCTATGAAACACAACACTGCCACCAACCAACAGTGCACTGTGAACACAACTCACACACAAACAATTCACATTACATATATCCCTTCCTCTTCCCTTCCTTTCCTACCGCTCCACATATATGTATATGTATGATACATAGTTGTCAAATCAAGAATCGTATCATGAATCAAATCAAATCGAGAATTGTTACGATTTAGTACAAATTATTAAAAATGATGTTACACAATCATATATAAAAAAGAATGAAATAAATTGATTTTGGCATGTATTATAAAATAATTTTAAAAAAATGACAATGATTACACCATCTAATTGGGAAGACATTGGCTTCATATCAAAGGATGGGTGCAAATCCCACAAACTATATAATTATTCAACAACCATAATAAAATCTCTCTTGACATTTAAAAAACTAGCGGTGAGGCACACGCAATGCATGTGCAACTTGAAAAAAATTATAATATAAGAATAATGGTTTCTCTTTAATTATTCAATCCAACTAATAGTGATAAAGAAGATCATAAAAAAATTTAATAATTATTATTAATTTTAATATCTTTTGGTATTTTTTATTTGTTTAACCAAATTAAAATTATATTCGTACATAATTTGTCAAGGTATCCTATCTCTTTTTTTATTAATTTAATATTTTTTAGAATCTTATTATTATCTACAAATAATAAACTATTAATCAATATATATAAAAAATAAACAAATAAGTTAAACCTTATCAGCTACAACAAATAAATTTAAAATTTTGATTTATCTTCAATTATTTTTTAAGTTTCATTTTTTAATTTTTTTTGGAACAATCCAAATATTTTTGTTATAATGATCATGAAAAAAAATTAAATATTTATTTTTAATTTTAATATATTTTGGTGTCCTTATTATCTATAAAAAAAAAAAAAATTATTGACTTAACCAAATTTAAAATTATATTCGTACATAATTTCTCAAGAAATCCTATATCTTTCTCTTTTCTTTTCTTTTTTAATTTAAATAATTTTTGGAATCTTTTTATTGTCTACAAATAAACTGCTAATCAATAAATACAAAAAATAAACAAATAAATTGAACCTTATCAGCTATTACAAACAAATTTAAATTTTTTTGTTACTCATAGATAATCTTATAGGTATTCTATATCTTTTCTGTTACTAATTTTAATATGGGTGAAAAGAAATAGTAATTAACCCTAGGTTAGAAAATTTAAAAAATAAAAATAAAATGGCTTCAATTAAATAACTCTACATTAATCCACCAATTGGAAACAAATAAATAAAGAGTTTGGAGAAGGAGAATTGATTCGTCACAATTGATTAAAAATAATAGAATATATATATATATAAGAAATTGCAATTCAAATACATGGAATACTTGGAAATCCAAAATCAGTACCAAAGTATTAGAATATTTATTAATATTAAAAGATCAAAGATGGAATAGGAAGAAGAAGCAAGAATATATATATATATATATAAAAGAAATTGCAATTCAAATACATGGAATACTTGGAAATTCATAATCAGTACCAAAGTATTAGAATATTTATCTTGCGTAAAAACATTCCCAGCAAATCTTTACAAACAAAAAGTTCACTCCCACATAACAGATTCCACCAATACACAAAATACGAAGTTTGTGAAACAATAAAAGGAAAGTGAACCTGTAAGTTTGAGTTTCAAAATTCGAAAATGCACCTTAAATTTGCTTGAATTTTTTTTTTTTTAAATGCTCTACCAACCAAGAATGTCGAGACCCATTTTCTCTCTCTAAAAAGTTGAAGACCCATAACTTTTGTTTTTTGAAACTGTACAGCAGTTTGGGAGACAAACATGGAAAAGTGGAATGTGGAAGTGATTGGTTATAATTGGTTTATTGAGTCCCTATCTAAATGCCACATGGCAAAAGCTTCAAGAAACTAAGTTAAGGGCTCACTTTATATAATAGCATAGATGAACATATGAACCCTATAGAGTATATAATAAATAATACAAAAAAAAAATAAAAAAAAAAATTTAAATGAAATCTTCTATTTTCAAACCTAAAACGAAAGGTTACAAAAAAAATTATGGATCATTTGGTCTATCTAACTAGACTACTGTAATATTGAACAGCACATTTCACTTAAAACAGCAATAAATAATTAATGGGTGCAAGAGCATGTTTATATTATCACATTTTTTTAGAGAAGAAAAAAAAGGTAAAGAGCATGTTTGATTTGACGGGATCCAATTGGATCTATTAAAAACATTTTGATCACCAAAATAACAACAAATCATGCATAAGTGTTGGTTAGTGTTGGTTATTTTCGTACTAAACACTCTTGCATGTTGTATTATGTCATTTTCACTATAAATAATACAATAAAAAAAAGTAAAAAATGATAAAAAAAAGTGGTGAACACAATAATTTCAAGAGTTGTAGGAATCACAAAAAATTAATCGAATTGTGAATCAATTGTGAATCATGTGATTCACTATACATTCTATTCCAAAATAGATTCACTCATAAATTCGTATCAATTTTTGATAAATCATGAATCGAATCACGAATTGTGAGATTCTGATAACAAAGGTATGATATATGTTGGCGCTGAGGGTGAGAATTTCAAACAACACAAACTGTACACGAAGTTAGCGGATTAGTGTTGGCCATTTTTTTACATGAATTCAATTATGACATAACACAATAACACAAAAAATAAACTAGTTTAGTATCTAACCTACATAACAAGAAGTTGATATGGATAACTCGTTCAGCGAATGATTAGTTATACAATTCAATGTCACTCAAAACAATCATGTTGAATCCTTTATATTAAAATGCAAATCACTTTAAAAGTTATGCATACTTGTTATCCAAAACAAGTCCCAAAAAAACAAAAAGGTTGTGGAATTATTTGGTCTGACTGACCCAATCCATGTAATATTGAATCAAATTTATTTCACTAAAATAGCAATAGATAATTCATGGTTGCAAATTACTTTAACCTTAAACATTCCTAGAAGATGAATTAGGACTTTTGTTTTTTTTCTTTGTCTTTTTTGAGGAAAACAAAAAAGGTTAAGAACAAGTTAGGTCTGATTGAATTTGATCAGATTCTTGTAAAAAAGGGGTCAAAATATGTCAGACACAATGGTTTTGAGAATTAAATGAATCCAAAAAAGTAAATCGAATCATTATGAATTGTGAGATTCACCATATATTCTATCTCAAAATAGATTCACACATAAAATTGTACCAATCTATGCATGAATTGTGAATTGAATCATGAACCGTAAGATTCTAATAATAGAGGTTTTTACGAGCTTGTGTTTGTGTGTGGGTTTTATCCTCCTCCCTTTTTTCCCTTTTTAAAGATACATCATAAAAAAGACCAACATTACATCATTACATCACGGGTGATCTAATACATATTACATTAGGTGAACAAAATTAATCAAGCTATGTTTGGATCATGAATTTGCATTAGGAAATGGAAAGGGGGAGGCAAAAGGTGGGTGGAATGTGAATGAAATATGGCTACATTTCACCCACTTTTTCCATTTTCCTTTCCAAATCCCTACCCAGCGATCCAAACACAGCCTAAGAGAATAGCTAAAGTGCAATATCAACCTAAGTTTAACATAGCAGGTTAGTTGGAAAAATTGGCATTTCGTAAACGACGTAAAACAAATGTTAATGAGCAATGACTAAAGAACATTTAAGATTTTCTTCAGATGATTACTTTGGTGACTAAATTCCATAGATATCAATGTCTTTGAGAATATCTAACAACTACTCAATAATAGAAAGCAAAATGGCAGCGCACTACAATTCATGATTAACCATAACTAGGAAGTGAAGAAACCACATTAATAACTTACTATTGAATGGGTAACTTAACCGCAGAATACTGCAACCAAGAATAGTGCAATGAAGAAAAAGAAAACAGAAAAGCAGTACCTTTTTACTCAAGCTGATAACTGATTGGCTGTTGTCTCTAGAATCAATTAACCTAAGGCACAAGGGGTAAACCTCCACATTGAATTGTTTGTTAACATCACCCTGTGAAATCAATTTCCTTGGTAATGCAGGCCCTCCCTTGTACCTAAAAAGGAAATTATCAAAACATAAAACACAAGCAGCAAGACAACAGTCATACACTCACTACCATTTGAATGTGGGAATCATAGTATCCAACTACTATTTGGGTTGGCAATGACCTATAAGAGCAACCACATAAATGTGATGTTGTAGAGAGCATACCATGAGAACCATTTAGCAATGACAAAAGGCAAGCCCCAAACTATTAAACTATTATAGTCTATGAAGCACGGACATACATACGGACACAAGACACGGAAATTTCTAAAAAATGGGGACACGGACACAGCAGGGGACACGGCAATTTTTTTAATTTTTTTATAAATATTTTTATTTTAATACACATTAATTATTTTATTTATTTATTATGTTTTTTAAATAATGTGTTCCAATTAATTTTTTTATTTTATTTTACATATATGTGTTTATTTTTTTTATTATTAATATGTATAAGTATATATTATCTTATAATATTTATTATATATTATCTTATAAGTATATTATATGTTATATAATAACTATTATATAATATATAATATATAATAATAATAGTTATATATATATAAATCAAGAAGATAAAGATGAGAAGAGAGAGAGAGAGAGAGAGAGGGAGATAGACGCGAGAGAGAAAGCGATCAATCGCAACGGAGAGAGAAGGCGAGAGAGAGAGAGCTCTGCGAAGGTGAAGGCGATTATAGCTAGTCGAAGTGGACTGGATCGTCGAAGTCGAAGAGCTATTGCTAGTCAAAATGGACTGGATAGAGGTCGATTGGCTTGAGATCGAAGTCATGAGAGAGCAAGAGAAAGAGCGAGGCTTATGGTGGAAGTCATCCAAATTGAAGTCGCCGACCAGGTTTGTACTCTTTTTCTCTTTCGTTTACTCTTTTGGCCGACCGTGTCCCATGGCGTGTCGAGATTTGGACACGCATGTCGCCGCCATGTCCCTTGCAAAAAAATTAATTAAATTAAGGGGACACGCTACCCCGGCGTGTTCCCGTATCCGACACCGCTACAACTTTCATTTTGGCGTGTCCATGCTTCATAGGTATTAACCAATGCGCATCAAGTGATCTATGATCAATTGTGCAAAGAAGGGCCATTTAACAATTGCCAATATTTAGGGGTGAAAGTTTCCCCAAAAAACCAAACCAACCGACCGGTTTTTTTCAGTTTTTGGTCAGTTTTTTATTCCCAGACCAGTCAGTTCAGTTTAGTGTGTGAGAGAGAGAGAGAGAACAATGTTATCCATCTCCAACCATCTTTATCAGAAAGAAATCCCTCCCCAAACACATCACCAATCCAAACTTAGGCATTGGGCAAAATTGAACAGGACTGGGGATTTTAAGCTCATGCATCCTCCAACCACTTGCTCTCAAATCAATTAACTCTCCTTGCATTCCCTAACAATGTAGTAAATAAAAGTGTGATTGTCTCCTTATTCAATAAGCATTCTTGTTATCAGTCTAGTTAATCAACATATGTTTCTCTATTCTTTATGAACATTTTTCATCGAGGAAAACATTTTAAGCACAATGCAGTAGAAGTATCTTAAGAAGCAGGGAATGTCAAAACCATTACCAGTCAAAAAGTTTCTCCCACACTAGTTGAGGAACTAAAACATAATCACATCCTTCCTCCAATGTTCTGTGTAGCTCAAGATCATCAACCACAGTGTCATTTGCATTTAGAACTATATCAGAATTATCAATTGGTCCAGGTCTATCTGCTGGCTTTGACAAAACAAAAGACTGAGAATCAGTAGAATACTTGTCAAACAAATAAGCATCAACATCTTGCCCAGTATATTTCTGCCAGCTTGTGAACCACCTGCCCAAACAAGAAAAAAAAAAAAAAGAGAGAGAGTGAGAGAAAAAAGAAACATCAAAAGTTCATTAAAAGGACAAGGTATAACACCAGAAAACCAAAGAAATATAACAGGAACCATCTAAAATTCCAAGGTAGGGCCAGATAAATGATTTTACCATAACAATTTGAAATTTTGATTAATTTAAAAGACATAATGACATTGAACATAATTCCCTCGTAAACAAGTAAATTTTAGAATCCAACAAAACACCAAGGTGGGGCCAAATAAATAATGGTACCATAACATGGAATTTTGTAGAATTCATCATAACACCATGGTTCCAAAGTGTTTTGTGAGTAGCTCCCAAGGCTCCACTCAATAGGTGATGCAAGAGCGTTTAAAGTGCACAAAGAGGCCATGGATCAATCAGTTATCTATTATGCAACCATCTGCATTCCAATTTAATTCATTGTAGCATATAATTCAACATTTTTACAAGGTAACAATCCTATCATACAAAAATGACTTAATTATCTGATCAATAATTAGGTGCCTTCGTTACCCCCACTGATACAAAAGGAACCCGTATTAATCAATAGATCACTGTATCACCACAACAGTGAAGGAGATGGTCCACCAGGCAAAATGTAAGTTAAAATCTTCATTTCCATACATCCTTCGCATCACAGCCCAACCATAGAGGTTCAAATTAGAGTTTCAGTCAGTTAAACAATAACAACAGAAATGCTAATGACAGTGTACACAATGATAGAGTTCAAGAAACCAATCTCAAAATTTAAGAACATAAATAAATAAAAGAAGTAATTAAGTGTATCAAACATGCCATACCAATACCATAAAAAATTAAATAATAAAAAAAAAAAAAAGCAATTTAAATTTTTGTATGAAATAGGCCTTAACTTTGATGAGAAATAGTGTTTGTAATCGGAGAAATGAAATTAGGGCGATGGGTGAGATTACCTATTAGAAATAACGTAATACAAGTTGCCATGTCTCAAATTAGACTCTGCTTTGTTTGTTAACTCTGTTACGATCCGCTTTTCTTCCTCCGGTGTAAAAGGTATTCCAATTGCCCCATTCTCCATCATATAACCCGAGTCTGGAATCGTCATGATCGTCACGCAACTACTACCACCAACAACAGCAAAATCAGATGAGCATCGCAAGACGAAATAATTTGAACAACGATAAGAATCGAAGAATCGAGACAGAGTTGGTGCGAGTATAAAAATGAAATATTATTGAACAAACCTAGTTGCAACGAGGGAGAGCAAAGAAAGAGAAGGTCTGGAAGGCAAATATATCGAGATCGAGAGAGAAAGTTGTGTGCCAAGTGGGAAGAACGAAGATTGCAAGTACAAGGACGCTTTGATTTGGATCCCAATCAGACGGACCTAACCATCACCAGAGAAAAATCTTTTCAACGACCGGCTTGACTTAAAAAGTGATTGTGTAGATTTAAACGAGCTATTTTTTTTTAATAAAATTTTTAAATTTATAGTATTATTGGTAATGTATTTTTATAAGTTTTGTTAGAAAAGATATGTAAAAATAATGTGATTAGAATAAAAAATTTGATATTATTATGATGTATCATATAATTAATCAGAATTTTTTTTAAAATTGAAATTATTAAAGTTATAGAGATTTTGTGTCTGCTTCCTTTAAGTATATTGTTTATGATTTGAATTTATACTTTATGTATCAATATAAATAACTCTTACGATCTTACTGATATAAACATAAAACCTATTTTTGAATTAACTCACCTTAAGCACTTTTTTCATGTAATAAAATATTTAAATATTATAATATATCATGATCAAACATCACTTAAAATATAATTAAAGATCTGATATACCACTTTAGGCATAACAAAAAAAATAAAAAATTAGTAAAGACATTTTCAATTGATAACTAAAATAATACATTATGAGTTATAACAAAGTCATAATTTGTATATAATAGAATTTTCATTATTTTTATTTTGTTTAGAAAAAATATATATATTTTGATACAAGTGGAATTCATGATTTTTGGTAAATTTGATCAACACAAATGAGGATTTGATTTCAGGTTGAGAATATAAAAAAAAATATTATTAATTTTTGAAAGAAATTATTTTTATGAGCATTTTATGTAGAATCACACACAGTGACAAATTTTCATCCGCCATTACCAAATTTGTTTGTATTTTCCTTTCAATTATTGAAATTTTCTATAAAGTATTAAGACTCAAAATTAATTTTCTATTTTAAAAATAAATTACGGGTCACCTACTAATATATGTACAAAAGTTTTTACTTTACTTAAATAGCGCATTCTAAAGATTTATTTTTTTATTAAAAAGTCACATCATCATGCATTTTTTTATTTACATATAAAGTTCTATATAAACTTAATTTCAATTACAATTACCAATTTTATATAGACTCTATTTAAAAAATGCTTATTTTTCATATAATTTTCCTCGCGTATTCAGTTTTGTCATTATCTAATTTCTTTTACATTGTTGATATTTTAATTTAATTATTATGATATTTGAAAAAAAAATATTTCAATAAATAAATAAATAAGACAGAATGTACTTAATTATATGCATCACAATGATCAAATTAATTTTTTTAAAATTTTTTTTTTGCTTATCTTATTGATGTCTTGATGTTAATTTTTTTTATTTAACATGAAATTATTTATTGCAAAATATTTATCTTTAATTTTAATTTTATATACCTATAGACAATATGTATAAATAATTTCAAAAAAAAAATAAGTTACACTAACAATCCCTATAATTTGTAACTGGTGTTACCTTGATTCTAAACTTTTCAATTGTAACACATTTGATCTTAAATTTTGAATCTTGTTCTAAATAAGAACAATTGAAAATATCATTACTCAATTTTAAGGACAAAATCATTAATTTGATAAAATAAATATCAAATTTTTTTAAAAAATTATTTTTACCCAACAAAGATAAAATTATGTAAAATTGATAAATCTTTTAGGCATTTATTTATTTATTTTACCAAATTATTTTTTACTATGTGTTTGGATGATGATCATGTAATGAGTGGTTGTTAGAATTTTAGTATATAATTGATATATTTAAAATATGAAATGTTTTTAGTTTTGGATTTTTTGATTTAATGGATAAGTTTAATAATGATATCAAAGTTGTCGTAATATTTGACTTTTGAAAAAATAAAAACTAATTTAATGAAAATAAAAATAACCACCCATTACATGATCATCATCCAAACACATAATAAAAAATAATTTGGTAACAAAAAAAAAATATCTAAAAGATATATCAATTTTACATAATTATATCTTTAGTGGGTAGAAATAATTTTTAAAAAATTCAAAAAAAAATTGACATTTATTTTTACCAAATTAGTTTATATTTTATCAAATTGACAATTTTACTCTTGAAATTAAACAATAGTATCTTCAATTGTCCTTATTTGGAATAAAATTCAAAATTTATGGTCAAATGTGTCACAATTGAGAAACCAGGGATCAAAATGACATAACTCTCAAACTATAGGGTGTAATTCGCCCTAAAAAAAAATAAATCAATACTCTACATAATTAATTTATGTATTTTCTTCTTAATCTAATCACAACATATTTGTATTTAATCTTTTAAATAAATTTTGTGTAGTTCTATTTCTACATATTTTTATTTTCCAAATAAATATAACAAAAGAAAAATAAAAATAAATAATTAGAATCACTTTTAGTTTTATATTATTAATTCTCTTTATAATTTAACTATTATTTTTAATATCAAAATGAGTGTTTATTTGACTATCTTATAATTTAATATATATCATATAAAATGATTATATGATAATTACACTTTTATAGCACAATAGAACTAAAATTATCAAAATAAATAAATAATTTAACTAAATTTATTATATATAAATATTCAAGTAACACTTTTTTAGAGCGATAACGATAAGATTATTAAAATTAATATTATTCTTTTGTAACTCATATCATAATATAATATATCATGAGTTATAACCAAATCATAATTTGTATAATATAAAAAAATTTGTTGTTTTCATTTTTTGCAGAAAAAAATATATTTTGATATAAGTGAAATTCATGATTTCTGATAAATTTGATTAACACAAATAAAGATTTGATTTTAGGTTGAGAATATATTTATATATATTTTAATAACTTGGAAATAAATTATTTTTATGAACCTTTTATATAAAATCACACATAGTGACAAAATTTTTTATCATCCATTAGAAAATCTATTTGTATTTGAATTTTGATTGTTAAAATTTTTTACTCATAAAATATTAAAACTCAAGATCAATTCTCTATTTAAAAAATAAACTCTCGTGTATCGCACGGGTCACCCACTAGTTAATTACTAAATTCATATATCTTATCATGAATTTGTACTAATAATTTTCTGATAATATCACTGGTCAGTAATTTCTCTATAAAAAAAAAAAAGGGAAAATGCTATAAGTCCCAAATTTTCTATCAAATAGTTGACCAAATGCCTCACATGGGTGTGAGATCCACAATTTTGTAGAAAATTTGGTATTCCTAACATTAAAAAAAAAAAAAAAAAAAAAAAAACAGTCGATATTTTGAAAGAAAGATTTATGGTGTTTTAATTATGCAAGCAAAGCATATACGAGTCTTATTCTGATTGACTTCATCACCTTGCTTCAGTTAATCAATTTCAAGGTTTTGAAAGAAAGATTTATGGTGTTTTAATCATGCAAGCAAAGCATATACGAGTCTTATTCTGATTGACTTCATCACCTTGCTTTAGTTAATCAATTTCAAGCTTAGGTCTTTTCTGCACATTCTTACACATTCACATTCATCAAAATTAAAATTAAATTGGAGAAGAGAAACGATAGATATTTTACTTTGAGTGGTTGTAAAGCTTTTGCTCTTTTACTTATCAAAATAAAGAATATTATTTGCAGGCCAAATGAGAATTTTCCCTGTGGAAGTTGTGTTTGGGAAAAGATTTTCCTTCTTTTACTTAGTATAACCTTTGCTATCAGTCAATGGCATCACATAATTAAAGGATTAAAGCAGAAAACACACAATCGAATCCTCCTAAACAAATACTGTCCCTTTTTGTTCATTATCCTCTCCATCTTTCTGCGTAAGTGAATTGAATTTGAGTATGAGCAATGGATGGGTTTTCCTTTCCCCCACTGTCCCTGCCCTGTGTCTCCCGACCTAACCAATCTTCCCAGCCTTGAGCAAGTTTTCCCCTCCCTAATAACCAAGCGAGACGAGCACAAGTTCTACTCCCATGTCCCGACTTGATAATATTTTATTAAATCTCTTTCGTATATTTTCATGTCCATAAGAAATTTGAAGAAGACTTTTACTCGTATCTTTAATAAACATTGATACCGATGGGCCCGCAAGAGGGTTCGGCCCACGACTCAGGGGCCAGCCCACAGACTAGATATTAAATCCCATTAACCTTAAGAAACCAATGATGGACCAGGATCAATAGCATTCAAACACCTGTCAGGCAGGGAATCAGCCATGTAGGCAGACAAAGATCCTGCAAAGTTATTACACCCACACATCAGCTGAGAGGGAGATTTATGATCTGGAATTGGGCCGAGGTAACGGCCGAGCAGGTTGAGAGCCTAATGGTGCATGAGGCCGAGATGACGGGCGATCCGCCCGGAGATGGGCTGCTAGGACTTGGGCCGGGCAGGAGTTGGGCCAAGTATGTGCCGCCCCAAATCGTAAAGAAGCTGCTCGACAGGGCAGTGCTCGGTTGGACCGAGCTGCTTGATCAGGCGATGGTGGAGCCAGTCAAGCTGAGTGACCGGAGCCCGGAAAGGCGTGGTCAGCCGAGGTAATCGTTTGATCGGCAGGAAGGCCGACCACAGGAGGTGCCCCGGACTCTGCTTTGCCGAGATGCCGCCTAGCCCGGTCCTCCTCGGGCTTAGCCAGTGAAGTGCTTGGGTATGAAGCACAACACGACCGTGGATAGAGAAGCTCAGCTGCCGAGCTCCAGCTGAGAAGGCAGGCAGTTGAGATTAGGTGATGTTCAGCAAAGTTTATGCTGACAGATGGGATAGCGGAGCCACGTGTCAGGAGATGACTGGGAGTGGATATGGGGCGCAGAGGGTATATAAGCATGTCTACGCCCCTCATACGGAGAGAGACGAACATTCTGTAAGGAATTCCTACACTCTAACACTCCTCTCTCTTTCTCTTTATCCTAAGGTGTGTGCTAACTTGACCGTCGGAGGGGTTTTCCGGTCACACACCGCCGGGTAGCTCACCGTTACTTGCTCGCAGGCAATCGGACAGAAACGGAGCTTGGAAGAAAGGAGTATGGGCTTGCCGGAATATTTGCTCCCCGTACAATTGGTGCCGTCTGTGGGAACCTTGACAAACAAAACCTTGTCTTCCA